AAAAGGCTATCGACCCAATCGGTCTTTCTGCCCTTGTTTAGTATATATGTGCCTTAGCCTAGCTTATTCTAAAATTAATTCCTATTCCTAACGTTCAGTGATTTATTTTGAAGTTAAAAAACGAAAAACTATCGTTAACTCTTAATTTATTACATTTAGAGTTAGTTGTTCAAATATGCATTAACGTATTTTTAATTCTTTTGCTGTTTTTTGATACTTTGCTTAGAAATCTTCGATGTCATTACGAATTTAACATTGAGATACTTTTTGCACATAGCGACACAATTTTTAGATCGATCATCCACCACATCAATAGTTAACGGAAAAGGAAAGAGTAATTTTTGTTCGAATTGAATACGCACACGAAATAAGCCAAATCAATAAAAAAAAAACGTTCAATTAGGTCCAATACTTCGAAGACACAATGAAAAAATCCTAATATATTTAATGATACATTAATTAGTATTAATTTACAAACAATATTTTAACAAAATCGAGCAGATCGAGCAAAAAAAGCAGTATGACATTTTTAACATGAAATCTTTACAGAAACATTCCAGAAGATGGTTCAAAATTGTTAACACTTTGCTGAACGAGTATTTAGAACGTGCAAAAAAATTGTTAAAAACATATTTTGCAACAACCGATTTAATTCGCAACCTGTAAATGACGTTTTTCTTATTAAAATTACGTAAACACTTGTTGCTTCATGAGCAAATCAACAATGGTAACACTGTGTTGAGTCGCACTTTTGAGTTGATGCCGCTCTGTGAGTCCGTGAGTTATAACTTGTCGCGCCTCACTGGGCAAAAAGAGAACTTTTTGGCAGTTCTTGAAATCACAACTTTTAAAGGGCATTTTTGGTTAGTTGGAATTTTGTTAGTTTCTGTCATCGCTCGGAAATTAATGAACAGTTTCATTTTTAAGTGATTTCTTCGCGGTGTTTTGTTCAGCCAATATTTTTAGAAACAGAAAATTAATTGGGTCGTTAATTTTAGTTTTAGTGTTGTGCATTAATCACTGCAGCTGAGTGAACTTTTGAATGATATTTAAAGTTAAATTAGTGAAAGATCGGCGCTTGGAGCGTTCTTCGTTTAATTGTCGTTGACAACAATAAACAAAGTGAAACCGAACTATCAATTAAATCACGAATCATCGAAAGGGCGAATAATTAAATTATTAAATAATCATGTTGATTCTGTAGTTCGGTGTTTTTTTTGTCGAAAAAGTGTTTGAATGTTCAGTTTGCTTCCGACAGAGGATGAAATTGATCGATTGAATCGCGTTATTAGATTGGAAATATAGAATCATTGTGGACCTTGTGGCAAGTGCGGTAGTTTGTAAAAGTGTAGTGAACTTCTTGAGTATTAATTAGGCCTGGGTAAGACTGTGTTGAATTGAAATTACCCAGAAATAATTTTTCATACAAAATACCTGAATATTGTCAGTATTTTAAGTAACAAAAATTAATGCGATTTTTGTGTAGAAAGAATTGCTTAATAGAAACTGTTAAAACTGAAATGACCAAAAAATGTAAAGAAAGTTTAAAATTCTTCAGAGCGATGGGCGACGAATTTTACAAATAATTTTTTGTAAAATTTTGCCCTCTGGTCGTTTTTCAAGATAATCCTAATTATTTTCAGTAAAAAACTGAATTAAATTACCGTAGGTTTTGTGCCGAATTCGAAGCTGAAATGGCTTTTCTAAAGTTCTCTGCAAACCGATGAATGAGACGAATTTTCTAGCAAAATTAATTTTGTCATTTTTGGCTGAAAAGACCCACACAATAATAATCCTCATAAACGAAGATCAGAAAATAATGGGTTTTTGCATTTTCGATTAAAATTAATCAAACCTGATTGGTTTTCGGGAGAAATTTTCTTTCATTTTTGTCCCGAATTCAACGCTGAAAAAAGTTTTTGTAAAATTTTTACAAAGCTATAAATTTATGTTGTAATTTTTCGCGTAAAAGATCGTCAGCAGTTTTAAGTAAACTTTACAAAATAGAGCGTTTTTGAGTAGAAAGTAAAGTAAAAAAAAAGAATTCAAAACTAAAGAACTACATTTTTTTAAACAGACTCTACAGTCTTCAGAGGAGGTGACAAGATTTCCAAATAATCTTTCAAAACTTATTATCTTCGATAATTCTGTTCATTTTTTGATAGAAAATTATTTGATATTTGTTCCAAATTCGAAGCTGAAAAGGAATTTCAAAACTTTTTACAAAGCGACAAAGGATTCGAAATTTATTCCATAAACTTTCGCCGAAAATACCTTAAGATTGTCAG